CTCGCTCGCCTGTGTAATCCTTCCACTTTCCATGCTAACCACTCTTCGATAACAATTAAACAAGACTATAGTGCCTTCATGAATTGACCAAGTGTTGTTTTTTTTCAATTCAAAGTGTGTGTGTGTGTGTGTGTGTGTGTGACTTCGTCGGTAGTGGATGCGGGGGGAGGCGGGAGGAATGTTCGCGTCCGTGTAACGCGAGAATCAGCCGATCACTGGGACACCGTTCTCATGCACTCCGGTTGCTAAAACGTGCCATAGGTTTGCAATCACTTGTGGTGCATATTCACATGTCTCACGGCCTCGTCCATTGTCCTAACAAAATTAAGCTAGTCCGCGTTGAGCTTTACTCGTCATATGAGATGTAGAAAGTGTATCAGATCTCATCCTATTGTCAAGCCGTGCTTGTAGGTGTGTTTAAAGGGAGGCTTTGTGTGAGTCACCGAGTTATCTAAATAATTGACTGATACAAGGAGACACGAGAGGTTAGCAGTTTGTTGAGTTCAAAGGTGATATCGTCGTGTATATAGTGAAGGAAGCGTGAACTGCAAAGCTAAGACAGCTGTTTCGACCTGGCTGGGTCTCAGTATAAAAAAACTGAAAACAGTCTAATCAGCGGTCGAGTGGATGGCAGGCTCGCGTTCTTCCTGTGAGGTCCAGGGTGCGATCCTCAGTTGGGTCGAGGGATTCACATTGCTGATGAGACCCAACCAAGTCGCTGAGGTAAACGAAACAGGCACTTTGGGTTGGTAAAGCCTAATGAACGAATGTGCACAAAATAGACGCTGGCTACTGCAAATTGAAATAAGAGGTCAGTTCCATGGCAAATAAAATGATTGCTGATATACTGTGATTATTCACAGTGAACTCACACAGTTAATTGTGAGTAGTGTCGTGGAATAATTTACATTGATTGATTAGAACTGCCTTTCAATCAATCAATACCAATTAACCCAAAACACAACTCAACTGTGGCCAGTTATCCCGTAACCTGCAAGGAAGACCTGACTTGGTGGGAGGTTTTCGATTGGAATTAACAGGTAGTCAGCAGTGTCCCTCTTCGTTGCTGTCGGGCCAGACTGAACTGACTGACTATCACTGAAAACGACACGTGAATTGGGAATTCGGTTCAACCCTGATTTGAGCTGGTCGGCACAGTCGTAACACACGCCTTCTTTGCGATGGATCCAGAGATCAGATCCCGGACGGGGCGGTGGATACGCACTGATGATGAGCTCTAAGGAGAGCGAAACTGAAGTCTATTGCTTCCGATTGTATGGTTTGCTGGAATAGCCGAGGAAAGTGCGTGGAGGTGAAGTTTGAAGGATGGTCAGTTGTGATCAGTCAGTACCCTAATTAACAGCGCCTCACTAACTGCCAGCAGTTTTGCACTACGGTTACGTAATAAGTGTTTTAAAGAATAAGAAGTATGACACAAGGAAGTTGAGTTCATTGTATTGGTTACCTGAATTCAGGAGAAACGCGATTGGTCCAGTTCGGTCGGTCGGGTTCTCTGAACACAGTAAGTTCTCAATAAGTCGATCGGATTTGTACCCTGTTGATGGATCACAGTCTGTATATTTTTGATGAAGAAAGTGGAATTTATGGACCACAGACAGTGTATTAAGTTACCATTGTGCGGTATGAAAATACGTCCATGATAAATAGCCGTATGGAACATGTGAGCCGAGTGTCACAGTTGCAAAAAGGAAATTTTTAAAAAAGTTGTAAGGCCGGCCGATATCAGCGAGTCTCGAATCTGGTGATTGAGGAGTGTAGGATTGATTGGTTGAATGATCCGTTAATATCAACAATGACTCATCCACCTCTCATTGGTAATTTCAAGCGAAAATATGGCGCTAAATACTTGATTTTATGAAAGATGGAGAGAACTGTGATGAATCAGCCTTTTGAAATGACACCAGCCATCGAGAAGATGAAGCGTGAAGGCGTTATCACCTCTCAGATTGTGATATCGTTTTGCGCAAAAACACGCGTCGTTCCGCGCGCCGAAATGCGTGTTCCGTGCTTAAAAATTAGAATTTTCGGATTTTACGGTCGCATCGAAAGACTATCGTTCCAACTCCAGTCGCATTTCATCTCTGATTGAACGAAGGTCATCAGTAGACCAACACCGAACGAGTTCGATCATGGAATGTTGTGGTGATTCGGATCTACGAGATCACGCCTAACTGGAGCAGCGCGGTACAATTTCCGTCGAAATGACGCCAGTAGCACGTGCACAGCCTCCGGATACACGTCATTGGTGCACCGTTCCAGCTAATCAGATACAATGCAAAGAAGAGCAGTATGACGCAAGATGTGATGCAATATTATTGGTGGAAACTAAGGTAGCCAATGATCTTCTTTTGTGCACATATATATTCACTTTCATTTCCT